GCTGCACTATGGCCCTGCGGTCGACTCAGCCTCTAACAGAAATTAATACCAGGAATTAATTAAATAATTTTCCTGGGGAGTAAAGCGCGGCCGGCTTGTGAGACCCTCAACGTCTCACAACTCTATGGGCCTTCACGGCCTGTTACAGGGATAGCTTTACTTACTTTTTACTTACTCCAGAGATCTAGGGAGCTTGATCCCGAATCATGTACCTGCCCTCGTATTTAGAGGGTTCTCCCATATATTTCTCGCGGCTTTCAGTGAGAAATGGGTTCGAAAGCTGGTGTTTCGACAAGTCATCGATTTCCTTCAATAAGGACTTCTCGATACCAAGGACTATTTTTGCCACCATAAATTCTCGTTGTTTCTTAAACCGTTCCATACCCTTACTATCCAAACCGACTGGATTCCGCTTAAAATGTCGGCAAAGAAATTACTAAAATTACTAGCGCCGCTGATGTGCTGCAATGTAGGGTCGTATTCCGGGAGTTGCATTATCCAGCGTGTTACCCACGTAGATCGCCTTATTATCGGAATATATCGGAATATACAGTGGTTGGATGAGCTACCACATATATTCTAAATTTCTGGAATGCGTAAACTACTGCCAGAAATTCTTGTTCGCAAGTTGAATAACACTACTCCACGGGAGTTAGAACTCTCGAAGCGGCGGATACAAGCAGTATCTCAACGGAATTGCTCTTTTGGGTCAGAACTGAGCTGATTCCCAGTTTACTGGCATCCGCAAAAATTGCGTAAGGCCAATCGTCGCGTGGGTGGACAAGCTGAACACTACGGGCAAAACTCTCACGTAGCCTCAGGAAAGCCTCCTGTTTCTCGTCTGTCCATTCCCACTTATTACCTTGTTTCAATAGCGGAAGAAGGGGCGGGGGGCGACGTAATTCGCATAGCCGACAATGAAATATATTATGCGTCATATTGTTCGGTAGGCTAGACGCTGAGTAGAGGTTTGCGCAATATGGCGTCACTTTTTGAGCAGTGTTATCTTTCCGGGGTTTCCCTTTGTTCAAAGAGAAGTGTTATAACCCCATTGTTCAAGTATATTACGTCGTATGGAATGATTTAGAAAAGAATGCATGATGCAAGGCTTAACACTATTGGCTGGAGCTCATAAATCGGGAATTAGTAGCCAATCGGGACTGCTGTTTATTGAGTATGATATCATGCTAGCGGTCGCCTGATGAATTGCGCAGCTCTCTGTGGCGACTAGTGTGAAACGAGTAAGAACCAGCTCAAAGTTCTAAGTGTGTCGTCTGAACACTGTATATAAGGATAGTACTATGTTAAAAGTATCAACAATTCACATAATAACATGTATCAGAATTTAAAGTCTACCTGGTGAAGTAAAAAGATAGTAGAATCCAGTGGCGGCTTGTAGCTAAAATTAGTGGGGGCGCTGCTCCAGAAACGCACAGTTCCATACAAAGATTTGGCTACTGACATTAAGCTTAAGGATTATATATTGTATTGTACAAGTATAAAGAAAGAAAGAAAAAAGGACTTATTATATAAATGTTATCGATAATATGTGGAAATTGGGGGTGCTGCAGTTCTGCAGTGCCTATACATGGGCCGCCCCTGGTAGAATCTAATAAAGTTTATTAAGTGCTTCGTAACTTGTGTCTTCGATTGACCCACTTAACGGAAAGAAGGCCCGCGTAAAACCCTGAAGATAAGCACAGTGCTCTCCGACAAGAGAGATGGCGCCCAACATTCACGACACTTGGGTTAAGAGGCTTCCGTTTAGCGGTAACTGCAGGGTGACTTAGTCACAGCAACTTATACAACTTACGAAAGACGACATTAAGGTAAAGAGAGAGTCTATGCAAGTCGCTCCCAAAGTGAGGCTATATCACTGCCAAAGCGAGTCTTATGTGACATTATCCACCGAATAAGCTGTTATAAGGTGACACCCAACGCCCTGCTCTGTCATCCTTAACCCCTAGCTAGGAGGAGGCGGCTATACGGTTTCACTCCCTTTTCTAAGAAAACAGTGCAAATGTATTCAGCCTTAGTGTGAAGAAAAAGACGGTACAAACTGGAAGCAGTGTTTTTGAGGTTTGCCCAGTGGGCAAGCTAGATAGAAATGAGTATATGCAGGGTTGGTCTGTAAGGGTTAATTCATTTATATTTGGAATTTATTACTACTAAAGCCCAAATGAATGTATGAATAAATGAACATATTGTGACGTGTAGATCCGTTGCTAAGTGGTGACCCCTAAACATCCGTTACTAGGTAATGCCAACAACATATGCCCGCAAAAGTAGTATAACTGTGTTTTATGTGTGGTCCATGCTGATGTGTTATAACTTTTTTGTATGGCCTATGCTGATTTGTTATAACTGGGAGGTTTGGAGCTTATTTCAGTTGAGTTCTGCATGGAGGCTGTAAAGAAAAGACTTGAGCATGTGAAGCTGAAGAATCTCCACTTTTAGAAGCCGTTGCCAGGGAAAGCATGGTGAAGAAAAGCAGGCTGGGAAAGGACTTAATAATGGGTGCTGTGGTGATCAGCGGTGGTGCTGTAATTTCTTGTAGTTGAGAGTCATGCGCATAAATAGTCGATCCATTCACCAATCTGAATCACGTCCGTAGTCACACGCATACTGTATGTGTGCAGGGTTGGTCACGTGAGGGTTAATTAGTTTATATTTGGAATTTATTACTGTTAAAGTCCAAATCACTGGTTTCATTGCCATATATACAGTAAAACTTGGTTATAACAACATCGGTTTCTGCGACACCTTGTCTATTGCGTCAAATATTCAATGGTACGAACTAATTCCTCATAAAGCAACTGTTTTTATACCTTGCTTAGTACGACATGCACAGATGCATCAACCTCGTATGTAACATCATTTTCATTCCTGAATTTCTCTGATATGGACATTGAACGTAATTTAGAAAGTGTGTATTGGGCAAGTAACAGGAAACAGATGAAGATAACTGATTACTGTACTCGTATCTAGGTACAGTAAGGCACAACAATTGATGTAATCTACTGTAATTTGGTGAGTAGGCCTACCTTTAATATACAGTATTAGTGCGGTGTGTATTGTCAGTGAAAAGCGCTGTAATATGTCTTTGATATTACACATTTGGGCAATTCCATGTTAATGTTACGTTAGTCTGTACTTAACTATGTATTTCACTAAAAAAATGCAACATTTTAACTCGGTTTTTGGTAGATTTTTACGTGACTAACATAAGGCTACTGTGGAAGTGCCCATTTCGGTTACAACGACATTCGTTTATAACGACACTATTTTTAGGTCCCTTTGATGTCGTTATAACCAAGTTCTACTGTATATATATATAAAACAAGGTGTAAGTTGAGACAGTATTTTTTACGTAGCAGTGTAAGGACACATGCCACGTTATGTTCCATGCAGTTACATCATTTTTCACATGGAGTTATTTTGGTTGAGTAATATGTTGAAATTGTGTTCTGTCTTGGGTTTTAGATTGATTTGATTCAGTGAGGATTTCCCATCATTCTTTTGTAAAATGTGCACACCAGACTGCACATATAGGTCAGAATCTATGTCAAGCTGTAAGTCTCCATGTTTGATGATCATTCTTATCATTGGCCTATCATCATAGGTAGCCGAATATACTTTATAGGCTGAATTTACGCTGTTGTTGAAGTAAGTAGAGATTTAGGAAGGATGAAAAACTATAGCTGAAGGCATTAATAACAACAATAGGATGTATGAAGGTTAACATTTTGATTTCTGTTACAGATGAGATCACTTGAAGGTGGTTTCCAAGAAGGCGATGTCATTCTGACCAACCACCCAGCTGCTGGAGGATCTCACCTCCCTGACCTTACAGTCATAACCCCTGTCTTTTATAAGTGAGTGACTTCTGACCCTTTTTATGCTCTGTGCTTCAAGTATGTAAAGTCAGCTCATGTGACCTGTCTGCCCGCCCGCCCTTGTTTAGTTTCCCAGCTGTTACGTGAATTTTAAAACTAATGTGATATGAATGGTCTACATTAAAGCATATAAAATGAATTTTATTTTTGGACAATATTGCTCTGCTATAGTGCTGACTTTACATGAAACTCAAATTTAATTGCATCAAATTTCTCAGAAGTTATTTATACAGAAAGCTTTGGCATGAAGTTATGACAGTTCATTATTATGGGCCATTCGTTTCTGATTTCTGGAAATTTAACTGAAAATTCGGGAAGAGCTTTTTACCCTGTTAAGAATCACTGCTGCTTCCTTTTATTTGCAAACACTAGAGGTATGTAAATACAAGGGAGAAGTAACAAATGGATTATGTTGCATAGTGGGGCATTTCATGAAGAAGTTGAGTTATTAGTGTCAACATAGTGAAGCCACAAGAATTAGAATATACTGTTTATTTAGATCAGCTGGAGGAAGAAGAAATATGTACAAAATTTTGGTGGGTGATATTCCAGAATTGCAAAGGAGGAGCCAGCAGAACAATATAATCTTAAGCATGGAGAAATACCAGTGTCATGATTTTAATTCATGAATGACTAGGAACAAATATGTGAGATTTGAAAATGTCATGACATTCAAAGGAATTTATTATGCCGTCAAATGTGTTAGATTAAATTGTAATTTTTGTTGCACAATTAGTAGGCAGTTGGTCTGAGTCTTAATGTTCATACTCATTACCTTGAGACAGTTCATGGTTCTACAGTACCCCCTCTTGAATGCTAAGTTACTACTTTGAACTGTACTGTGAGCTCTTATTCCTATAGTTCTTTCATTTCATCCTACATAACAATACTCTCGTCTCACTTTATTCTATGCAATCGATTCAGGATTAAGATGTAACATGACTGGATCGTCATTGTCATGTACTAAACACTAAGAATTAGAAACAGCATGATATGCTCCTAGGAGTGAGAGGAAGCCTGTATTCTTTGTGGCGAGCCGTGGACATCATGCAGACATTGGGGGAATCACACCAGGATCCATGCCGCCACACTCCAAGAGTCTGACTGAGGAAGGTGCAAGCTTTAAGAGCTTTTACTTGGTGAAGCAAGGATTGTTTAATGAAGCTGAACTAGTGCAGGCACTGAAGGCTCCAGGAATGGTACCTGGCTCCTCAGGGACACGAAACCTTCAAGACAACTTGTCTGATCTTAAAGCTCAGATTGCTGCAAACCACAAGGTACTGACTATTGTTTGCAGAAGTGAAAAATTCTTTTGGGTATTCTGTCTTTATTTTTAAAATTTCTCCATACTATCTTCTGTTATTTATTAATTTCTTTCTGACCTTAACTAAACATCTCTCAGCTGCTGTTAATCTATTAATATCTGCCCTTAGGAATCCACAAGTTCCTGCCATGTATGAGGAGCTTTCCGTATATAATGCCTCCTAATTTTTTAATGAAAACTACAACAGGTACAGAAATCATAATAACGCAGTTAAATAGAGCAAGATTTCAGCTACTTACAGGTATTTTTACACATAATCACCACCATTTGTTGTGCACTTTTGTCAGCGATTAACAAGAGCCTGTATGCCGCACCCGTAAAAGTCTGTGCCAGCAGAGGCTAGCCACTTTCTTACAGCTGCAATGACAGCATCATTGTCTGGAAAATGTTGTCCACGTAGCCTATATTTCATAGGCCCCAAGAGATGGAAGTCTGAAGTTGCTAAATCAGGGCTATAAGGTGGATGTGGTAGGACAGTCCGGCCAAACTTTGAAATGTGTGTGGTGGTCGCCAAACTGGTATGGGATCTAGTATTATCGTCTTGCAAGTGAAAGGTTGCCTGCTTCTCTGGCCTGACTTGGGAAATGTGGGCTTTCATCTTAGCATTGTCTTGAAGCATTCAAAATTGACAGTCCCACCAGGCTCCAGGAAATCCAACAAAATCACACCCTGTCTTTTCCAAAAGACCGTGCACATCACTTTCCCTGCGGATGGCTGTCTTGAANCTTGTCATGCACTTCACTTTCACCACTGTTGAAACGCACTACCCACCGCCTCACTGTGCTGACATCCACTGTATCGTCTCCATGCACCTTTATCAAGCGTCAGTGGATGTCAATGGGTGCAATTTGTTTGGCAGTGAGAAATTCAATAACACGTCTCTGTTTTGTACGCACTTCTATGTCAGATGCCACTTTGGTAGCCTGCTCTTCTGTTGCTATCTGTTGCATGACAACCAGATTAACAGTACATTGGCAGGAAGGTTCAACCTTTGCTACACCACCACCACCAACATCCAGCTCAGACATTACAGATTAACACAAAAAAATAGGAGGCATTATATATGGACCACTCTTCATAAATTAATATTGGCCTGTAGTAATTTTTAAATACACAATCATGTTGTCTGGTATCTGACATTCTTATTTTCAAAGTATACTAACACCTATACTAACTATACTAACCAGGACGATGGATAAAGTCCAAAAACCTAATATATCAATGTGTTATACACCATTGTTAGAATCCTATAGTAACTACTTATACTAACACTGACTGGTAAAATTTTCCCTTAGTAATTTTTCCTGGCTGGCATTATGTAGGTTTCTTTACTGTCCCACTCAGTGAGGCTTCAAGCCCTCCAAGTTTGTCGCCATTCTTTTACCGTCCTTCCTTTCTCTTGCTGTTGTCGCCGCTGCCATCATGGTTCATTGGGCTCGCAGCTAGGTTGTGCTTTACCTGGCTCCACCGCTTCTCCGACTCCACCACTTCTCTTCACTATGGGAAAGGGGTATCAGTTCCGGCACTTGACCTGGCTTGTCTATGGGCGCCAGCAACTGTGGATACAGATGCGAAGTGAAGGGATAAGGTGGGATGGGGTGGGGAGCTGATGGTGATTGGGCTAGTCGTGGGTGGAGTGAGACTCTGGCTCAAGTCGTTCTCGGGCCCTACTCCGACGGGGAGAAAAGGACACACTGGAAACACAAGCACTTGGCACCACTTCCTCTATTGTTTTTGTAATCTGGGAGTCACCGAGATTCAACTCAGATTGTTACTTTACTGTTATCGGTATGGGAGAGCTCGGATTCTACAAAATGAGCGGATTGTTGTTACTTGGTTACACACTCCTGCAAGCCTTGTCACAATACACCATTAGCACTATTATGGAGCACTTGGGGACTTGCATAGGTTACCGCTACCACTGCGTGTGTGGTGTTTGAGAGGGTCACCAGTTCGCACTCACTTGAGTTTCTTTTTCAATATGAATTTTCCTGATTTTACTTTCGAATACTCAGACATTATTTTCACTTAACAGTCGATCGAGAGGGCTAGCTCCGCATCCGGCGAGTTTAACTGTTGTGGCGAGACTCCCGAAAAAAAAAAAAAAACTCCATCTCCTTTTTGAAGATTTAGAGGTCCTGTGAAAATTTGGGAACGCCTCGTTGCCATCCTCCAAATCCCCGGGTTGGCTGGATTTAGACAACGGAGAGGGGTTCGAGAGTTTCTCGTTCCTCCAATGGTCAGCTCTTTTGCGGTGAAAGTTGGGTTCTCGTGCTTTCACGATCTTTCTGACATGGGGTGGATCGAAGGGGTTCACCCTCATGGTCTTCTAAAGGTAGGTCTGTGACGAATTTCAGGCCTAAATTGTCACGTTCGTTATGCTCCAGAGAAAAAGGTTGTTGTATTCAGGTCTTAAATTTCTTTCTCCACTACAAGATAGCATGTAATATTTGGATTCCTAAAACATTTTACTTCCGTGATTAATCGGGTGTTGAAAAGTGGTCCCTTTCCTCGACTATTGAAACAGTCTCAGCTCCGTTATAATAGAAGTTTTAACATTTGGAGAGTTATGACCGGTCAGAGGGCCATCTCTCTAAGTGACAAAAGGTTCCCTCCAGCGTCTTTTTGAACAGATTGCTCTTTTATTAAAGCGTAGGACTCTCTGTAAAAGTAAGAAGAGTGTCTGGCTGGTATGGTTTAAGTCCGGCGATAGTGACCTGTCGTAAACTTTACCTTCTCGGAATTGCATAAGCAAACTTTCAAGCTGTTGCTTCTTTAGAAATTTCTTGCTCATCCCAAAATACTGTGTCAACGGGGCTTCTCTCTTTCTATTTCCAAATTACATAGCATGCTCGGGTAGGAGGGAGGCCTGTCTTCCCTTAGTGCCAGTTGGGTTCGGGTCCCTCTGGTTTGAGTGGGGTGTGGGGTATTACATCTGCTTGTATGTAGTGAAAAGTACCGACACAAGTAAACAAAACTGTGGTCCTTTGCATTGTACGGTTACAGTTTCATGTTAAGTGGGGCCCACATCACCATGGCTGGTATTTTCCTCAGTTTGCAGATGGAGGAGACAGCCTTTTTAAGCAGTCCTCAGTTTGCAGTTGGAGGAGACTGGATAAGAAGTCACAGATATCTAAAAACGAGTGGTCTTCAGCTAGTATTGTTATTTAGGGCCTTCTGCATGGGACACTACTTCAACGTGACCTTGGCAGTTTTCTATCTTCTTGTAAAATAAACCTACATGCTAGCAGGATAGCAAGCTCTTGTATTCAGTTTTAGGGGCCCCTGTCATTAACAATAAATTTTGGTTATGACAGTTGTAGTTTTTTGGTACTTATTTCGCATAATTATAAAAATACAAAACTAACTACTCATGATTTTAGAGAAACAAATATGTTAGTAAAGTGTGTGATTGCATTTCTGTTCTGTGCAGATCCAGAGGTGATTCCTCATTCACTCTTTAAATCCAACCCTGTTCTGTATGATAGACCACAACTGATTGACAGTAAAGTTCTGACTGACAATCAGTGGGTCATACCCAAGTTCTGAGGGAACACAATTTTATGTGCAGAAGGTTTACTTCCCCAACTTATTCCACAAGTGTCTCTCTCCTTCCAGGGCATTAGCTTAGTCTTGGAGCTGATAGATGCCTATGGCCTTGATGTAGTGCAAGCATACATGCGTCACATTCAGACCAATGCTGAGGTGGCTGTGCGGGACATGTTGCGTGAGATAGGAACAAAGGTGCACCAACGTTCTGGTGTAAGCGAACTAGAAGCAGAGGATTTCTTAGATGATGGATCACCCATACGACTTAAAATCAGCATTGACATTCAGCAAGGGACAGCTGTGTGTGATTTCAGGTTCAGTATATTGGTTTACCTGTGGTGCTTGTGATGTACATATGTGGTATTCCCAGTAAATGGTAGATACAATATGCTAGTGTATTTTATTTACTGCAATTGGGTTTGCACCTGGTGGAAGTAGTCCTACCCTAGTTCAGAAATACTACAGTAATAGCAACACAAAATACGGCAATACAACACAATGCAATAACGTGCAATACAATAAAACGTATTACCCAATGCATCAGAACGTACATACAATAAAACGTAATCAAATACTGTAAGAACGTAAAATAAAATACAATAAAAACGTAAATAATATACAATAAAACGTAACTCAATACAGAACGTAAACTCAGTATAAACAACCAAACGACAGAGGATGTGCCAGTATTACATTCAGTCCCTACTTGATTTACTTGTTTGTACCATTTGTTTATAACGACTTTCTTAACCCTCTTCCTAAAAGTATTTAACTTGAAAGGGAAAGACGTCAGCAAGTCTGCAGGTAATTGGTTCCAGTTTAAGATGGTCCTGTTTACAAACGAATATTTACCAATGTCAGTTCTTTGACTCGTAGTCCTAATTTTCCAGATATGATCCTCCCTACTCAGGTAGCATGGCCTTGAGAGTCTGTCCCCGATAGCTCCCCAAACCCTTCTTCCTGTGTAAGCTTTGAAAAGAGCGCATAATCTGTATACCATTCTACGCTCCGCTAATGTTTCCCAACCCGTCTGGTTCGTATTATTTGCAAACTTAGCCGCCTTCCCTTGCACTCTGTTTAAAGCACTTATCTGACCTTCTCTGTAAGGGTCCCAACACTGATCCATACTCGAGTATCAGTCTGACTAGTGCCGTGAAAGCTAAATGTTTCGTATTATTAGTATTCCCCCTTTTGAGTGTGCATTACGAAATGTAGGGCCTTTCATACTTTTCGTAATGTATAGTTTATGTGATCTGCTCAGTTTAGATCGCTGCGTATAATTATTCCTAAATATTTAACGCTATTTGCCTCCGGAATTAATTGATCCCCAAAGTAATACTTTATTTGCACTCTCACCCTAGCTTTTGTGAAACTGACCCATTTACTTTTACCTGGGTTTACTCGTATCTTCATTTTATTTACTATCACCCATTCCCTTAATTTATTTAAGTCCTTCTGTAATTCGTCGACATCACTATTATCATTCATTCTCCTGTATATTATACAGTCATGTGCGAACAACCATATGTTAGACTCGGTGTTCCTCCAAATATCATTTTATAAGTGAGGAAAAGTAGAGGCCCTAGCACGCTCCCTTGCGGCACGCCCGAGTTTACTTCGACTTCCTCCGATAGTTGCCTGTCCACTCTAACCCTCTGCGAGCGTTCTACA